CCTTCCTTCCTTCCTTCCTTCCTTCCTTCCTTCCTTCCTTCCTTCCTCTTTTTTCTGTGACTTGAAGTTTAAAGGCGTTCTCATTACTCAGAAATTACTGTTCAAAAGCCCATGGCCCATATGCCAGAGTTCACAAGGGGGCCTCCTGGCAGCCAGGGGTCCTTTTCCTCTTCCCATCCCCACTATCTCTTGGTGAGTACGTTCTCAGCTGCAGTTCTGAATTAATAGCCCTGTGACTAGCAAATTCCCACTGGGCTGGTGGGAAGGAGCTAAAGGCCTCATGCTGGTTAGTCTTGTTCCCATTGGGCAGAGAGCCTTTGCCATGTTTCTGAAGAGGGAGATTTTCCTACCTAAGGGTTTCCTGTCAGCCAGCTTCTCAGCAATCACAATCCACAGACTGTTGGATTCAGGGTAGGGACAGAACAGGTTAGAGGGAGCCAGCTCTCTTTTCTCCCCCAAGTCCCTTGCCCCACCTAGCTGGGAAGAACAGTAGGCTGTTGCTATGGCTACATACCCATGCTGTCTCATTTCCTGCTGTTCCTCAGTTGTAAGGGAGAGGGAACCCCTCGGTTTTGGTTTCCTTTGGTGTCAGCAGTGGTAGGTTTGCCACCTTCAGCAGCCTTGGGGTTCTCTTCCGAGATCTCTGCTTGCTGTAGAAAAGAGCTTCAGGACAAGCTAGTAGAAAGCAGAATTGGAATTTGTTTAAAGGTGTTCTTAATATAGATTAGGTGTAGGTGTTCATATAAATAGAGGGTAATTTTGAGGGGGAAAGAATAAGACACACCCATGAGTAGGTGTGGGCTTCTCTAGGGGAAATTGTCTCACGTGTGCAAGCGCAGGCACACAAATGTACACATCTTTGATCCTGTGCACTTAAAGGGTATAAATTATAAGGCTTAGGAATTTTTTTAATCTTTAATTTTTATTTTATGTATATGAGTGTTTTGTTTGCACAGGCATATCTGTGCACCATGTACATGCAGTGCCTGTGGTGGCCAGAAGAGGGCGTCAGAATCCACCTGGGACTGGAGACAGGTGTGAGCATTATGTGGGTGCTGAGGATTGAGCTCAGGTCCTCTGGAAGGGCAACCAGTGCTCTTAACCACTGAGCCATCTTTCCAGTCCCACAACAAGGTTTAAAGATTACGCAGCACTTAATGTTTGAGTAGTTTAAAAATCTGTGAGCTGGCTTTCTTATTTCTCTCCCAGAATTTCCTTTTGCAAATGAAATTGGAATGTGGTTTCAGGAGGTGAGTTATTTAGATTCAGGGGTGAGAGAGGCATGCTACCATGGAAAAACTCAAGGCTATAAACATTCTGCCCTAGGCAGACACTGTTGTTTTTAGCATCGAAGTTTGAGGTGTCTGTAGGAAAACCCTGCATTATCTCTGTAGACAGTGTTGGCCTTATCAGCAGCACTGAAATTTCCTTTCTGCCTGCAGGAAGGGCAGCTAGATCCCAGGGCGAGGGGGTTCTTCCTCTTCCCATGTCCCTTTGCTTTTCTGTGTTTCTGTCCTGCCTCCATGGGAACATCATGGTCTGCAGAACAGATCTCAGTTCGTGCTTTGGATACCCCAAGAAGGGCGGGACGTAGCATTGGCTGAGATTTGCTAAGGTTGAGCACCACATCTGTGTTCCTATAGAATGCATTACTTCTGCAAAACGCATTCCAGGGAATCCTGTTACCTGAGTCTTTGAAATGCGTAGTCTATGCCGCCAGCCTCACTTCTACGTAAGTCTGAGGCCTGGTGGGATGAGATGGTCAACACAGTTGTCAGTTACAGAGCTTAGATTGAACCTCGGTTTGTGGCTTTAAAGATTACAGCTGTACACAGCCCTTTCTTTCCTTGTGACGAGACAGCATTATTAATTAGAGTCTGACAGACTTGATGGTCTTGCCCTTTGGAATGCATTAAAATTAACATTTTTATCAGGTGTCCTCTTTTTAAAAACAATTAACTACACATTGGCGTTTCTCCACTAGTGAGTACTAAATATAATTTCTTTGTGTATGGGATAGGGTCTCACCTGCACTTCGCATCAGCTTGGAACTCACTGTGTGGCTTAGGCTAGCCTCGGTTTCTCCCCGCACCTCCTGCCTCTGGCCAGCATCTCCACCTAACCTGCTGGAGCTACAGGTGTATGTTACCATGCGAAGCTGCTTTTAGTGTCTGAATGATCTTTTCCTAAAATAGGACGCTGAAATTTTTGCAACGTGTTTTAGCAATCACATAGGGTTATAGGATGTACTGTTTGTTAATTCCTTCCTCTCAGGATGTGACTGCCAAGTGTCTGGTGGCACTTTGGTTTCAGAGTACAGTGACTAGTCTCGTGCCTGTGAGTAGCATCACGCTGTTCCAGCCACTTCTGTGTGTTTATGTGTGTGTGATTTTTGTTTTTAATTGCAGGTAATTCTTTTTAAGTGTTCAGTGGTAAGGAGATGAGCTAGATTTCAAAATAAACCTTGTTATTTTTCTAGGGTTGAGCTCCACAAAATGAAAATCTCCCGGCCTGATCCCGATGTGGGTAAATACACTATGATCTTCCACACCAGAGACAAAGGCAACGAGGTGAATGTGGACCGGTAAGCTCTGGAGTCCCCACCTGGCTCTGGCTGGGTGCTAAGTCTCTTGTGTGGCCAACACACCAGGCCGGACTGATCACATAAGCCCGTTCACCTTGTTAAAACCTTTTGATGAAGGAGCTTATAAAGTAGAACCCAAATAGGAGATAACAGAACATAGACACCTTAGTTCTGTGATCGTGAACTTCCGACTTCTCTGCTTTGTCCCACTTTTTCCTTCTGGATTTTTCCTTCTGTCCCACTGGATTCTTTTTCATAGCATCTGTGTGTACGTATTTTTCACACACATCCTTAAAATATCAGAAGTCCTGTAAGAAGAACCATAGTGCTGCTATCATGCCTAAAATAAGACTAATGAGGTACTTCATTACATCATCACATGTCCAATCAGTTTTTAGGATTCCCTCTTTATCTAATAAGGACCTTAAAAAAAAAAAGTCAGTTTGTTCACAAGGTCCATGTTGTTGTCAGGATGATCTCTCCGGCTTGAGTTCTTCTTGGTTCTTTTTGGAGACAGGGTTTCACTGTCCACTTAGTCCCCTTTAGCCTCAAGTGACCCCAGCTGTCTCACCTCTGAGTGCGTATTCCCATTCCCTACCCTTTCTCTTTCTTGTTTTGCAGTTTATTGTTGAACATACCAAGCTGTTTATCCAACAGTTTCAAAATCATTCCATTTATGAATTTTTGCTAATTATCATCTGGAGATCTGATGAGTTCCTGTGACCTCTGCTTTACTATTATTATTTTATTTTTATTTTCTTTTTAATAAACTAGGAGAGCAGGTTTGGTGTCAGGATTGTTCTGTGACGTGGGCATTGACACCCTGATCTGTTCATTTTGAGATTTCTCATCCTATCTTTATCTGGTGACTTTCTTTTTAGCACCTGTTGCTCATCGTTTAAATCAAGGGTTGCAAAGCTGTGATATCCTGATTCTGCCATCCCATCTTCATTTATTAAATCTCCTCACAGAGAAGGACGTAGTCTCTTCAGCTGTTTGAGGACCTTGGGGTATAGTTTCTACAGGCAGGGCAGCCTGAAGGGTGAGAGCCCCGCACTGCTGAGTCGTTTTCTGGAGCAGTAACCTGGGATCCCTGAGCATCCTTCAATTTGTAGTTCACGTTCTTGGTCAGAAAGTCCTCTCGACTTTGTCCAGCTGGAGCCTTCCAAGCAGGCTCTCAAGTGCTGAGGATGTAGCCACCGCCATCCTTGAGAGCTTCCTGCTCTGGGCTCTGGAGAGGGGTGATGGCCTACTTGGCCCTGCTCTGTCCTGCCCAGCAACATTGACAGATAAACACGTTGTGGCTCTGATGGAAAAATTTATGTTTTTTATTCTGAGTCTTTTCCCTTTGATGAAAAGCTGTATTCAAGCATTTTTTTGCCCTCTTATTAGTTCTACATGTTAAAATGGTATTAAATAGTCTTTTAGCTCTTTTGTGAGAGGCGAGAGTTTCAAAAGAATAGACTTTTCTGTCATTCCAGTCTTTATCAGTCAATAACTGTGCATTTTTTTGTGTTTGTTATTTATTATTTATAAGAGAATACTTACAAGTTGCCTGGCAAGCTTGAGACATCTTGATACCCAGGCAGGTATGTCCGTGTGGCCTCTCTAAACCCACACCCTCCTCTTCACACTCACCGATGACCTAGGTGACATTTTGCTGAACTTTGTGATAATTATTTGTCGTAATGCTAATTCTTTGGGCTGCTTCTTGGTTTACGGAGATTAGTTTTTGCACGACTTCCACTGTGTGCCAGTGACTCCTACTGTATTTGTTCCTCCTTTGACATTGTATAGCTCAGCATTGTGCCTCCGCTCTCCACCCATGTTGTCACTGTCATGGCTGAGCTCCTCGAGGACTCTTTAGTGCTCACGTCTCTACCCCATTGCTCAGCTCCAGCCACAGGGGTGGATTATCCTTCCTCATTATCCTTCCTCACATGCGCGCTGTTCTTTTGTCGGTCTGTGCCGCTTGCCCAAGTGGTCTAGTAGTCTTTGCTTTAGAGCATCCTGTCTCTCCTTTTTCACTTCGTGAATGTCATGTCTTTAGGCTTCAGTAAAACTGGCCTTCTCGATGTCCCTCCCTAGACTCTCATGAAATAAGGTGCCCCTTAATCTATCCTCCCGCGCATATGCACACACACACACTATTTTTGAGGCTTGGGTCACAGCTATGTACCCTCCTGTCTATAGACAACTTTCTTCTTGCAGTAGTGGAATGAGCAGAGATCCCTTGATGCTCAGCAAGGACCTGTTCAGAATGGGCAGGACACAGCCCTTTTCTATCAATGTTCTCGTAACCCCTCTGCCCTATAGATGGGAGCCCATTAGAGGCAATGTCCTCTATTGGTCCAGGGCCCGATGTACATGTTAATCCACAAATACTTGGCTGTCATTAATGTCTATTGAGTGAGGAAAACACTTTTTTTTTTATTTTGTGATGGGAACTCAACAGGAATGGTAAATTGTAAAACTACTTGTGCTACACTTCGGAGCAGGACAAAAAGCAGTGGAGATGCGTGCTGCCTTCTCATTTTTTTTAAATCATTCTCATTTGCTCTTTTTATCTTAGGATGAAGCTGTTAAACCAGATGTCACGAGTCTGGAAAACAGATGGCTTATCAAGTTGTTCTTACAGATTACTCTCTGTGGAACACAATCCTTTATATATCAACATCACAGTGGATTTCTGGACTGGTGTGTGACCTGGCTCTTTGGATGGGGTTCGGGAGAACTGACGACTTGTAATAACTTTGGCCTAGAGACTTCCCTAGTCGCACACACTAAGGACTCGCTCCAGCTAATTATTAGGCCAGATTTTTCCATTTTGTGTTTTCTCGGCAGCGCTCTTGGTCATGTGGAATGTAGAGCCGTCATACAAGACAGCTTTCTTAGTTGTTCTGATCCCGACAGTGAAATGTAACGCACATACTTGACGGACTAAAGATAAAAGGATGCAATGGGAGCCGTGTCCTTGACAGATCGACTCCAGCAAGGCATAAGGAGATTAAGGAGTGGGGAACAAAATCCCCGTGTGTTCTAGAGAGCCAGAACTGCAAGGCCCAAGATAGAAAGGTACTAAGATGTGTTTCTGTCACGCGTGTGCCCTATGTGGCCATCTGAGAAGCGGTGGATTCCGGATGAGAAGAAGGCCATAGAAGAGCGGAGCAAAGTCAAGAATCAGATGCCATGAACTTGGCAATGAAGAGGTGGCGAAGGGGAGTGTGGCGTGAACTGGCAGCAGTGACTGCTGCCCCCAGTCCTCCGTGGTGTTTACTTCCTCATCGGAAACACCTTCCAGTCTGTGGCCACCCGACCTTGAATGTACCAGTCTCTTCAGAGGCACTTGCCAGCAAGAGCCCACCAGAGAACACTCTCTCCTAGTTTTTAAAGCATTTTTTTATAAGATGATTTTGTACATGTAGGATATGAATGAGCAGTTTATAAGCTACATCATGACTGATAATACATCTCTAGAGTACCTCTGTAGTAAAACATGAAAATGCTTCTGTCTCTTGGTCTTGTTTTTTACTCTTCGTTTAGGCCAAAGGTTTATTCAGTTCAGCACCTCTGATTTTAAACATCTTAAGAACCAAACAGTGGACTGGAGATATCTCAGCAGTTAAGAGCTTGTACTGCTCTTGCAGAGGACTTGAATTTGGCTACCAGCACTCCCTTGAGGGGGAACTTACAACTGCCAGCTTCAGGGGACCCTATGCCTCTGGCCTCCACAGCCAACCGCAGCAAGCCACAACTTGGTCTTAGTCTCACGCCTCTCTGAATTCTTACTGTTTTTATTCCTCTGTGTGTCCTTCCCCCAGTCAGAAGTGGAAACTGCAGGGCTTTGGGAGGGCTCCTGGCCAGTTAGTGCTCAGGCAGGGTGCGGGAGGTGCTGGAGTGGAAACCAGAACAATTTGAGAGAGAAGGTCCCAGCATGGCTGAGCTTTGTCGGGGGCAGGGCAAAGGGGTCAGGGTAATGGAAGGAAGACAGAAGAAGCCATTCTGTTTCTGAGTCAGAACAGTAGTAATTATTTCATTTGTTAGGTGGATAAGTGGACAAGTAATTAACACAGATGTTAAGTGTCGTGTGACTGTGTCCCGGGGCCTCTCAGTCCGTCATCATTACGTGACTCCATTGCCACTAGTCTCAGTTGGTAAGTAGAAATAATACCTAATCCTGCCAGATAGGAAGAGGAACCAGGAGGGTTTGGAGTGAAAACCACCAAAGGAGGAAGAAGAATTTGAAGAATTTTTTTTTTTTAATAAGCTTGACAGGTTTGCTTAGGGCTAGGCTGGTTTATCAATAACTCTGCATAGGAAGTAAAGACTGTATTTTTTTTCTTTATTTAGCAAAATCATACTCATGGTTTTCCTGTTTTCGTGTCAAACCTTATAAAGGGAGTTGTATTATCGGGAGATTTGGTAGTGGCCCATGCTAGTGAGAAAGGTCCTCCCACCCCCCTTCTTTCTGCGGAGGCACAGGGTCTCTGAATGTGGTTGGGGAGGGTAACAGGAAAGAGTGGTGTGTCAGGGGATTTGAGACTCAGTTTCTTGGTTTTTTGTTTGTTTGTTTGTTTATTTTTTGTTTTGGTTTTGGTTTTTTGAGACAGGATTTCTCTGTGTAACAGTCCTGGCTGTCCTGGAACTTGCTTGGTAGATCAGGCTGGCCTCGAACTCACCCAGATCCACCTGCCTCTGCTTCCCTAGTGCTAGGATTAAAGGCGTGCACCCCCCCCTCCACCACCACGAGACTCAGTTTTTTTAAGAGAAGGAGAATATACTGAATGCCATATGGAAACTCCCTGACTTTTGTTTTGGCCATAGGCAATCAGCATTAACAAAATGTTGGAAACTGTTGAAATACATCTCTAGCCCTTCTTCAGCTAATTCTTTCAACCAGGGAAATGGACAGGTAATCTCAATGACTTGTTCCAAAACGTCTTCAGGTGCAAGGCCACCTTGTGGGACCTTCATGCCACCCCTGTGCCACGTGACTCCTGCAGGTAGTCCAAGGCCCACCAAGGGGCTGGAGCCCTGGGCTACCTACTTGCTGATTGCTATCGTTTACACCGCCCTGGCTGGTCAAAGGAGCCAGCTCCCAGTCCCTGCATATGTACTCGGTCACAGTCCATGCCGTGGCATCACACATTCTGGATGCTGAAGGTGGATATGTCAGCACACCGTGGCTGCCAAGAACCAGATGAGCGCTGGCTATTTGGACACTGACACGCCCCGTGGCCACGGGGGGCCCTTGCAAGGTTTAAATTGTTGCTTTAAAAATGACTTGGGCTTAGTGCTCATTTTTTATGGTGCTCACAGGTTGTAATGTTTTTATATAATTTCCTGGGATTAGAGGACGAAGGGAAGGGGCGGAGACCCAGAACAGGTGGGCAGTTGCTAGAGATCTCACAGCTGAGCAAAGCTAGGTCCCGCCCAGACTCAGGTCATTGGACTATAAAACTACTTTTCCATATTGTCTTCAGCAGGGCTTCATTCTTTGGGGGTAACTTTCCTGAATCTATATTTCTGTCACGACTCCTACTGAGATTTGGTATCTTCTGAACCCCCAAAATGACTTTCACGAGTTCCTCTGCTCTCCTCCCCTACTTATTTGGCTCTTAACCAGCACACACTTCCTCCTATACCCCAGGAGGAGAAGCTTCATGGAGTGGACTCCTGAAGGAGATGAAAGTTATTTTTTGCCAGACTCATATTTTCCACTTTTCCCCAGGTCCGACAGAAGCACAAAGCCATCGGTGTATGCTATAAGATGGAAAATGTTAGGCATAGTCTTAAGCTCTCGCTTGCCATAGTTTAAACTGTAGCACTTGCATCGTGTCTGCTGAGAAAGTCAGACAGGTCGCCAAAATGCACTCGCGTGAGTGGCTCAGAGGTCCCACCTTCAGGGAGCACACCCGAGTAGACAAAGGGTCCCTTGACAAGGGCTGAGAATGCTGATAGATCTTGGGCCTTGAGTTTGCATGTGTCTAAGTATGTATTTTGGGGGCTTAGAAAGTCAGTGAAAGGTAGAACACAAATGAATGCTTATCCCAAGTAAACTTTCTCTCTTTAAGAAAAGACTGTGTATGTATATGTGTGTGAGTGTGTTTAAATGTGTGTGTGTGTGTCTGTGTGTGTGTGTGTGTGTACAAATGTGGGTGGCCGCAGAGACCAGAAGAGAGTGTCAGATCCCTTGGAACTGGAAGCACAGTCTGTTGTGAGGCCCTGATGTGATGCTGGGAACCAAACCTGAGTCTTCTGTGAGAGCAGCAAGCTCTCCGAGTCACTGGCCCATCTCCTCTGTCGTAGCTTTGTTTGTTTTATTTTTTATGGTACCGTGCCTCACACATGCTGGGAAATGATGTACTACTGAACCACACCCTTTGGTTTTTAAATTTTAACTCTCTACTAACCATGTAGGTGTGTGTGTGTGTGTGTGTGTGTGTGTGTGTGTGTGTGTGTGTGTGTATGCACGTGCATGTACTCAATTGTGCCAGGCATGGGGACCATGGGCTGGAGGAAGAGAGCATCTCCCATATGTTTACGATGCTCCCTTTCTCTAAGACCATGGTTCTCAGCGTGTGGGTCTCAACCACTACAGGAGTCACATATCAGATATCCTGCATATCAGATCTTTACATCATGATTCATAACTATAGCAAAATTACAGTTATGAGTTAGCAATGGAATCATTATATGGTTGCGAACACCACAATCACGAGGGACTGTATTAAAGAGTTGCTACATTAGGAGGATTAAGGATTACTGTTTAAGACCTTTCTGGCTCTCTTTGTTGTTGGATATGAACACCTGAGCCTTCAGATAAACATGCATGAAACCAGACTCAGCTGCTTATCTGGGGGTTGCTGAATGCTCCCTAGCATGTCTAGGAGTGGATAAGAAGCCGAGTGAGGCGAAGCAGGAAAGAGAAGGGAGATTCCATGGAGAGCAATCCTTTACTCTATAGTAAGAAGTCAGGTTAGTGGCTAGTTTCTAATCCCACCCCCAACCACTGCACTGTTTGTCAATCAGACAGGTAGGGGCGGGGTTAGATGGGGCAGTAGTTTTTCAAGTTTGTGATGCTACATATGAATAGCTGGAATGCATCTGTTCTGCTGTTCAGACAGAAGCAGATTCTTTATTCTGGTTCCAGGACTTTGAAATGTTAGATATAATCAGGTTGCCACAGCTTAAGGATGAGGCCAATCAGAGACAGGGCGACTTTTCTGTGTTGCACCCAATATATCTTGCCCCAGAGTGAGCCTGGCTGGTTTGGGGTTTTGGTGATAACTGGTGGGCAAGCTAATGACTGAGAAAGGAAGGTTTCACAGAAATCATGTCTGGGTGACTCTCAAGGACAACAGCCTTCCTTCTCCCCAGAACCAATCCTTCTGGTCTCCTTTTCCTGGTTTGGGAGGGCTGGGCTTGGACCCTGCTAAGCTGTGGCCGGATCCTGAGGCCTGCCACCCTATTTCCAGTTCCAGGAGCTTGAAGAGGAGAAAGAAGTCAGGGGCATGAGGGAAAGAGGCAGGGATGGAAGTGGACGCTATGAAGAAATTGCTGGGTGACCTAAAGGGAGTGGTGGCAGTAGTCACAGCTCAGGCTTGGGAATGGCAGAACACTGCAGGGGGAGATGAAGCCTTGTCCCTCTTATGCAGTACTCTCTGTCACTGGGGTGGCTGGGCTCACCTTCCTTCCTTGGTTTGGGAAGGAGCAAAGCTTGCTCCTGTGGGTAATGGAACTTTCTATACTGTGCTTTTGAGATTAAGATCCAATCACAAAGAGATGAGGGTTTTGTAGTAGAAAGCATTTTGAAGCATAAATCTCTGGAAGGGAAAGCAAAGGTAAGGTTGGTGGGAATCACTCAGCTAATGGAGCCCAGTGGAAAACCTAGTTAATGGTGGAAAGCAAAGGGCACCAGGAGGTAGAGATAGAGCTAGTGGGTAGAGTGCTCACCTAGCAGGCACAAAGTGATGCCTTCTTCAGCAGAGACAAAGCCAGGTGGAAGGTTGGAAGCAAGCTATGCTGGGGATCAGAGAACGGACTTCTGCTGCAAGGGAGTCCACTCCTCTTCTCTGACTGCTCCTCCACTCCAGGGTTCTGCCCGACCACAGGGAGCTGGGGAGGCAGGACCTTCATGCCTAGGCTGACTGTTCCTATGTGATGGGTGTGTTTTCTGCATAAGGAACACAGTTGAGCTGTTGGCAGCACATGTTGCTTCCTAGTGGAGCAATAGCTTCAAAGGACAATGTTGTAGACAAAAGTTTCTGTCCTGCCCAGTTCCACAGCCGTTCGGTCCCAAATAAACTCACAGAAGCTTATATTAATTATAAACTGTTTGGTCTGTTAGCTCAGGCTTATTATTAACTAGCTCTTACAACTTTAATTAACCCATACTTCTTGTCTATGTTTAGCCATATGGCTAAACATAAACATAGTGCGGTATTCTCATCCTGCTTCTCAGTCTGGCTGGTGACTGCATTTCTCTGCCTTTCCTCTTCCCAGAATT